CAAACTCTTAATTGTTCCTTTTCTGCCAGGGTCCTGACCCACCTTTTCTGAGCTAATCAAAAGGAAGGCATTAAGTTGTCTCTCAAGTTCTTCTTTTGGCTGAAATAATAATAGTAATAAGAGTAACGGCATGTACATGCATGCCTTAAAGTTTATAAAGGAGTAGCTAGATGTCAAAGTGTTTACAGTGCTTGGACCTCAAGTTGGGCAAATCTGAATTCAAATTTGGTCTCAGACACTTATTAGCTGTTTGATCCTGGGCAAGTCACTTAACTCTGTTTACCTCAGTTTCCTCATCTGTAAAATGAACTGAAGAAGGAAATGGCAAATCACTCCAGTGTCTTTGCTAAGAAAATCTCAAATGGGGTCACAAAGAGTCATCCATGACTAAAACTACTGAACAATAATAAGGTGACATAATCTATCTGCCTGTTTCCTCAACTGTAAAATTGGGATCATAATAGTACTTACTTCCTGGGGTTGTTGTGAGGATCCATTAATAACATTTATAAAGCACTTAGCACAGTGCCTGGAACATAACAGCAATATGTAAATAGTATTATTATTAACCTCTGTCTGCCTCAGTTTCCTCATCTATAAAATAAGAATAATAATAGCACCTACCTCCCAGGGTTATTGTGATGATAAAATGAGTAAAGGTGCTTTGCAAAACTTAAAATGGTATATAAATGTTAGTTGTTATTGTTATTATTATTATTGAAATGGAAATTGCTGCTAGATTCAGAGACAAAGGATTAGGGTTCAAATCCCACTACTGCCACTTTCTACTTGTGTTTGGGTGTGGGATTGGCCTTGTGATTTCATTGGTCCAGGGAATTCCCAGGTGAGGAAACTCCTGGCACCAATGCAGATCAGAATCTTTCTTTGCCTTGATCTATCTCTGCTGCGGGGCACCAGATCTTCCCATCTTCCAGACCTACTCTCTGTCCACTATTACCACTCTTTCCTTGGGAAAATCACTTCCATTGTAGCCTCAGTTTCCTCATTTTTACAATTATGTGGTTGGAGCAGATGAACTCTGTGATCCCTTTCAGCTCTTAATATCGGATATGCTTCTTCCCCTTGGATCGAATTTTGCAATAAAGTAATATTTCTGTGTTTGGGATGGAGGAATTCCAGGCAAACCCTCACTCACCAATCAGAAGAGACAGTTTTGCCTCTCCTGTCTCCTTTCTTCTTCCCTCTCCTCCTCTCCCTCTCTTTTCTCCTTTCTGTCCCCCTCCTCCCCATCTTCTGTCTCCCTCTTCCCTATCCACCTTCGTCTCCATCTCTCTTTCTCTCTGATCTAATTTCCCTTCCTTTCCTCCTCCCTCTCTCTTTTCTTCTTATTCCCTCTTCCCATCTTCCTCTTCCTTTTCACTTCTCCCTCTCAGGCTCTGGCTTTCTGTCTCTCTTTTTCTTTCTCCTCCAATTTACTTTCTCCTTCTCTCCTTCTCTCGGGCAAGGAACACACTTGACCTCATCTACATACAATATTTGTTTACTTAATTAACTGCCACTTAACTGTTTTTCTTAAGGAAAGGCTTCTGCTTTGTTCCTGAGTAGTGCCAGGAGAGATTTTTCAACCACCCCAAGGCTCCTACACCACACCAGAAGAAAGAACAGACAATTCACTGGTTTCATTACCCTGGGAGCTTAAAGGAAGCCACTTTTAATAGAAACAAAACTGAATACTACTTGACACAGCTGTAAGGAACATATGAACCTCATTACCCCTGGAGTGTAGAGAAGCAGAAAATATAAAAAGGCCTTAAATTTATGGAGGGACTAATCAGTAATGCAGACCTTCTGAGAATGGTAACATGGGACCGTAGCTCCAGAGCTGGAAGGGCCCCCAGAGGCCATCCAGCCCAACTCTACCCACAGATAGGGTATGGAGATTCCCTATTCTACGGATGGGGAAACTGAGGGCAGGGTGGGATGTATAAGTTGCCCAAGATCACAATTTATAAGTGATAAAGCTGGGATTTGAACTCAGGTCCTTTGGCTCTAAGTTCTGAAAACATTCCTAAGGCTGTGATCACATCACAGTGGCAGAGTAGGGATTCGACCCTAGGACATCAGTGCATTTCCTACTCAGAGACATCAGACACACAAATATGCTCATAAATAAAATGGAATTAGATTTTTTTCTCCCACAACATGAGGCCACTTCCCGGTCCCAATGTTCCAACTTCCACCATATACATAGTAGGTAGATAGATAAAAAGATAGATGGCTCTCTCTCTCTTCCTTCCTTACCTTTCCTTCCTTCCTTCCTTCCTTCCTTCCTTCCTTCCTTCCTTCCTTCCTTCCTCCTTCCTTCCTTCCTTCCTTCCTTCCTTCCTTCCTTCCTTCCTTCCTTCCTTTCTTCCTTCCTTCCTTCCTTCTTTCCTTCCTTCCTTCCTCTCCCTCTTTTTCCCTCCTCCCTCCCTCCTTTCCTTTGCACCCTCCCTTCATTCATCCCCTCCTTCCTCCCTCCTTCTCCTTCCTTCCTTCTTCCCTCCCTACCTCTCTCCCTCTTTGCCTTCTATACAGTGAGAGGCAGCACATTATAGTGAAAGAAGTCCTAAGCACACAATAAAAAGACATGAATTCCGCATCTACCTCTGTTGCTTCTTTAAATGAAAGACCTTGAGCAAATCACTTAGCTTCTCTGTACCTCAATTTACCCATTTGTTATGGGAGAGTCTTGGACTAGATAGCATTGATGGTTCCTTCTAGCACCAAACTCCATGATCTTCCAAGTATTTGAGATCTAAATTCCCTTCTCATTCTCAAAAATTAGGAGTCTGTGAGAAATGGCTTTGACACTTTCTGGCCATGGGCAAGTCACTTTCTACTTGGGCCAATCAAAACCTCTCTGAGCTCATCTGAAAAAAGGACTCATTAGAGTTTAAGTAGGGTGAGGCCCCAAAGTGCTGAAATTTGGAGGACATCAACATCACTTGAAAGTCTCTCAGCACTGCAGAAACAACTGAGTTCAGCACTTAGTTATCTAGAGTAATTGGAATGGGAAGTTACTATTCAATTCAATTCAATGAACTTCTATTAAGTGCCTACTGTGTGCCAGGTACTGGGATAAACACTGGAAATACAAAAAGAGGCAAAAGACCCTCAAAGAGCTTACAATCTAATCTTATGATGCCATCTTACTAAATGGCATGGTGGTGGCTACACCCCAGGTAAGCTCATTCCTAGCTGGCCAATCTTCTCTTTCCCCTTCATTCTCCATCAAAGCCTTTGAAGACATTTTTCATTCCACTTGCCCCGAGTTTTTTATTAGTTGCTCCTGATGCCTCTCAGTACCCCCAGCCAACTCTCTAAAACTATTATTTATAGAGAGGTCACTAATTTGCATCACTAGAGTGAACTTCCACACTGGGAGTTCTCCACACCAGTGGGGTATTGTCCACCACACACATGCATCCACACCAACTGCACATACGCTCAATATATACAGATGTTGTTGGCTGGAATAAAGTCTGCTATAGTAATGTGGGAAATAAACATCCAAGGTCTTGGTCCGTGGGGCCTGCATGAATTGTGCTGTCCAATGTGAATGAGTCACACTTCTGCCCCCTTCCCCCAGCCCACTCCCTACCCGTGTAGGAATAGGGACGGGGAAGAAAAAAGGGGAATCCTCAAGAGTGTTGAAACCTTTTTCAGTCTTTTTTTCTCCAACACAAGGCTGCCTTAGTTACAGTTCTAAGACCTCAGCTGGAAACTGGCAGATTCCTAGGCCCACCTGCTCTCAGTATCTGGGCAGCCCTCCCTAAGGATGATGGTCAGGGAAAATGGAAGCTTTCAGGGGAGTTGGGATCATGCTTAAGGATTCTAGGACTGCTGCCCCTCCCCCCCACTGCTGTTCTGGTGGTTGTTCAATAGTTTCATTTGTGTCTCACTCTCTGTGACTCCACGCGGGGTTTTCTTGGCAAAGACACTGGAGTGGTTTACCATTTCCTTCTCCAGCTCTTTTTACAGGTGAGGAAACTGAGACAAAAAGGATTAAGTGACTTGCACAGAGTCACACAGCTAGGAAGTGTCTGAAGCCATATTTAAACTCACGAAGATGAATCTTCCTCGACTCCAGACCTGGCACTCTATCCACTGCACCATCTAACTGTCCAAAATTTGTGCGTCCGTGCAGGTGCCACAAACCACCGATTGAGGCATCTGGAGTCTGTTGGCAGCTGTATCATATCCAACCCTGTGGTAACAGTACACAGCAGGGTGGGGGGTTTTACTCTGTTCCATTCCAGAACATCAGGGATCACAGCACAACTTTGCAAAGCATGAATGACTCTAAACGCGCCTGTCCTTCATTGGGGAGCCCTGTTCTGGAGAAGCTGCTGTATGAAGAAATGAGACACACAGCCTATTTGCACCACTGACTGAATGGGAGCTAATCCTTAGAGCATATTTGCATGTACCATGTAAGATCCCCCCATAACAGATGGTCGTGAATATAGAAGGGAGACCAGCGCCAAGTTCCCAGTGGAGAACTAGGGGCAAGCCAAATAAAATAATGTAAAATAAAATAAAAATTTTAAATACAGTCGGGCTGGAAAACAGGTTTTGTTTTCTCCTATTGCCACTCCAACCTCTCCAGAATATGACCTTCAGGCAGCGAGAAACTCACAGCTTTTATGGGAAGAGAAGGAAACTGAACGTAAGGAACCGTTCCCAACATCATGGCAGCAAATGAGATAAAACATCAAGATTTGTGTTTAAGTGGCTCTCCATAAAAGGGCAATTTTAATCAGATTTTCCAGGACAGACATTACTCCTAGACTAGACATTATTTTCAGCCTTCGAAAAAATTAGCCAGTAATAATATGTATTATTCAACAATATTTTCCTATTTGACATTTGGGATAGCTAATGACATCTGAAAGAGGCGCTACAGTTTTATGAGAGAAATTGACTTTAATGATAGCACAGACCACTTGTGGCCAATTTGCGAAAATTATCATCTTTCTCTTAAAGTTGATGAAGGCCTCTTCTCATTCATCAGTACAGAAACATCCAAATTGGCCAAGTTATTCTCTAAAAGTTAATGTATGCTGTCTTCCTTTTCCCTGTAGGATCATAAAATCTTTAAGATGGAAGGAACCTTTGAGGTCATCTAGTCCAACCCCTATTTTAAAATCATGAAACCATTTTACAGTGTCCCTGAGGAGTGTTTATCCATCCAGCCTCTACTTGAAGACCTCTAGCTATAGGGAGCTCACTACCTCTTAAGGAGGCCCAGTGCATTCTGGGGATAACATTGTTAAGAAAATACTCCTTATATTGGGCAGAATCCTGGCTCCTTGAAACAGTCCTTGAAACAGGGCCAAGCAGATTAGGTCTGATTTCTCTTCCATAGGTGGCTGGAACTAGATATATGGTTTCATCAGTGTGGAGAACTCCCAGATGAGGACCTTCCTACTTAACCTGCTTTGCAACCTAAAGTCTTAGAGAGTTGTTCGGGCCACTCAGAAGTCAAGTGACTTGCTCTAAGTCATACAACCAGTGTCTGTCAGAGGCAGGAATTCCTGATATGGAGGCTGGCTCTCTCTTCATTCCATTCACACCACCATCTTTCATGGCCAACACTCCAAATCTTGGAAACTGGCCATCGTGTCTTCGCTTCTCCCCATCTTCTTCCTCTAGTCTTCTCTTATCCGTGCTAAACACTCCCTGAAGTTCCTCTGACAGATCCTGAGAGGAAGCTTTGTATAATTGAACTTCAAAAACAATCATCACAATACTAAATCTAAAATCTCAATTTTGTTTTGATGTCTTCATTTTCTGGGAAGCATCATGGCCGAATGGAAAGATGCTAGAGAGCCAGCCTTGGAATAAAGAAGTTCCAATCTTACCTCTTGACATAATGGCTGGGTGACCCTAGACAAATCATTTAACTTCTTGGTGCCCTCATGAATATAAGTGGTGTAACAGAAGCCCATCTACATTGGTAGAGGAATTTTCCTCACTGGGAGTTATACCCCACCTTTCTACGTGTTCTCAGAAGCAGAGTACTTGAGACATAAACAGAAAAACCTAAAAGAGGAGACATCCTACTTCTTTCATTCAATTCAGTTACTTTTGTAGATCTACTGACATTTAGTTGATCTTAGGTCATGCAATGGTTTGAATGCTATGCCAGAGGATGTTAACCAGCTTTCTAATATGGACGAACCAATGTCTGTTCACTGAAGGAAAAAAGTAATAGAGATAAGACACCACTTTCTGGAAACAGCATCTCCTGTAACATCTTATTAAAGAACAATGAGCTCCATCCCTTTTCCCAAACATGCCAGTTTAGATACATGACTAACGAAATATAAAGACTATGTTAAGCTCTTGAATGGTAGCTTTCATCTTAGGGAGTTAAGGGAACCAAGAATCAAAATGCAAGCCTGCATTTAAAAATAATGATGCCATCACATTTGTAAGAATGACTCTTTAAATGACCACTGAGTAGAGCAAAATAATTTCCTTACATAGGGAATTCCATGATTTTTGGAGAGTTTCTTTATGTAGTGCAACTATCCCTTAGGAATTCTCTACCTTCTAAGAGTGCCCCTCTTTCTCTAAATTTTGGCCTTTAGTTTATGATGTCAAAACCCTGCTATGGGGGTTATGAATGATAAGAAAATGCGGGGTATGCAAAGAAGAAAGGTTTAAGTCCATACAAAGGGAAAGGAGGCACCCACAAAACTCTGTTCAGATGTCCATGGCAGTCATAAAGAATATACAAATCATTATTCTAAAGTAGGAATTCCATCCACCATGGGCTGCATGGTGGAGGGGCCATTCAGTGATTGACTTACATTAATTAGCTCCACCTCCCAGATTTTTTTCAACAGGTCCATGGATGTGTAGCCATTAATGAGGAAAGATTTGGTGTAGTCGCCCAGTTCAATGGAGTCCAGCCACTCTGCCACGGAGGTGGGATGGTAGCCATCATGGCCAATGGGCCTCATCTGGAATGAAATTTTAAAAATTATTGTTAATGTTAATTTTAACCGATGGTTTTGTGTTCTCATGACAGGACGTGTGCTGCAATTTGAAAATGCATTTGATTTGAGTACCAGATCTTTCTGGGAAGAAGAATTAGGATGCAAACAGAGATACTGTATGTATAGCCTCTTGAGAATTTATTCTGTTAACAGCATTAAGCAAAATTGTTAATAATTCTCAAGCTGAATTCGTTTTCAAAGAAGTGCATTTGAAGATTCCCAATTCAATTTCTAAATTTACCCATTCCCTTCTTCCCATCTCCCCCCCCCCATTTGAAAACACTAAATCTGTCAAACATCTCTGCCTGGGATGTTCTTGGCAAATTGTAGGGAGAAACTTCAGAATCTAATCTCAGGGTTGGAAAGGGTCTTAGAGTTCATGTCAACTGAGCCAGAAGATCTGAGTTTGAATCCTTGCTTTACCACTTTCTACCTGTGTGACCTTGGACAGGTCATTTCATCCTAATGGCTCTCAGTTTGCTCATCTATAAAATGAGTCATCTTAGCATCCCACATCCAGATGGCCTGGAAAGTCTCTTTCAGTTATAAATTGATGGCCTTATAATGGTATGATTAGATGACCTCTAGGACTCTTTCCAGTTTTTGATCCATGATGCTGAATGATTTTGAGTTGGATTCAATGCCATTTGGGAGGCATAGGATTTTTGTCTCCAAAGGTGGGCATCATTGCCTGGCTCCACAAAATAAAATGCTCTATAAAACATGAGTTTTTAAAGGGATATATATGTATGTGAGTGACTCAAGTGGAGTGGCCAATGTGAGCTTGCTGAAGCAACAACACGTTTCCGAGACAAGGCCCGTAGAAAAGACTGATGAGGGTTCTGAGACGTTGTGTTCTGCAGACACTCTGCGGTATGTCAGACATTAATATAGAGCACACTGGCAGACAGCCTCCCGTTTTTTGTCAGCTATATACAGAACATTTTTTACTTTCCGAGAACAAAGAAGTGTGACAGCAACATAATGCTTCTGAGCTTAAATTGGAGTGAGAAAGCAATTGAAGACAGAGAAACTTCTGAGCTCAACATTCTGTGGGAATTATCTTTTAACCCTGATTTGAGGATTAATTTGAATTTGTGTTTGGGGAAATGGGTCTATTTTCAGGATGGGACAGATTTTATCACTTCAGTTACTGTGGAGGGCAGGGACCCGTTCATCATCTTATAACATGAGTCCTTTAGTGAGATTCCTGCAGACCAGGCAAACTGAGTCATGAAGGCTTTCTTCTTGAGGATTCACATATACAAACATAATTCCTTTGGTTTGCAGAGTGGCATAAATTAGAACCTTTTACATGGCCATATGCAATCAGTTTGTGTTGAAAGAGGTTCTAGAAATAGTTATGAGGACTGTAAAATGTATGTATCTGGCAGGAGCGGCAGTAGGGTGGGGAAGGGGAGGTGCCTTCTAGCTCGGTTGTGAGGCATTCCCAAAGAGCCAGTGTGGTTATATCCCTGATCTTTCTGAATATCAAGAGATTAGTATGAATACAGCTGTGTGCTAGTTAATGTTTAACACCCAGTCCCACCCCCAACCCCCATTTACTCAGGATATACTTTTAAGCTTAACCTGAATTATTAGCATTTTCTCTATCACTTTCTAGAATCCAGAATATCAACAAAACATTAAATCAATCCCTGCCATGTCGAATTTGCTAATTTCCAAGCTGTAAACACTCACATGGAAAATTTAACAATCGACTCGAGCTAGTTTGAACTGGTGCCAACACATCCCTGGATGGGTATGAGAAATCCATATTTTCTGCATTTACTTGTCATTATTTGACACGCCTACTCCCTGCTTTTCTCTACTCTTCCTTCCTCTTGGGGTTTCTTTTTCCTTTCTTTTTAAAAATTCTTTTTTTGCATCTCTTCTTTCCTCCTGTTCCAATCTTCCTACTGATTTCCACCTACATACAATGCTTTCAAAATGCTCATTGTTTTAAAGGTGCAGTGGAGCCCTTTGTTCATGCTGGATTTTCAGCTCATTTTTCATAAACATTTTGTAAAAGTTCTTGCGATTTATTATATAACCACCACCAAAGAGCAGACAAAACTTCTCAGTGCTCAGCACCTTCTTTCAAGGTGAAGAGCTTTATTACAGCAAATGCCACATCTGTCATCATCCTTCAAGCCCATGAGTGAGAGTCACAATCCATTCATACCTGCTTGTCCTTCATGATTTTTGTCTGTGTCTTAAAATCCTACTAGGAAAATTAATCCAAAGGTCTATGGGACTTCTGAGTCTTTCAATGTTTTGTGGACACTGGGGCAGCATTTAGACTACCTTCATTCTCATTACATGAACGGCTTCCCTTCTACAGCAAGGGTTCTTAATTCAAGGTTCACAAACTTTATTATTTATTATTCTGACAGCTGTATCTCAATAGAATTAGTTTTCTTCATAGTCCCCTGCATTTTATTTTACATATTTAATAATATTTTTAAAAGAAGGACTCCATAGGCTCTACCAGACTGCCCAAGAGGCCCATGACCCCCCAAAAGGTTAAAAACTCCATGTTCTAGACTCTTCCCCTTTTGGCCCACTTTCTATGCACTCACTCTCGGCCAGGTCAAAAGAGATTGGGTTAACAATCCACACAGGAAAAATCAAATGGATGAAAAATAGTTTTTGTTCAAACGATGACTAGTCACTGGATGATCTATTTATCTCCTGGGTTAGTGATATTTTGGTGTCTATTTATATGCACATGTTGTTTTCTCCCAATAGAGTATATGCTTCTTGAGGGCAGGGTCTGTTTTATTCTTGCCTTTGTATCCCTAGCTCTTTGCACAGAACCTGTCACTTATCTGCCAGCCAAAGATGAAAACTGGAGAATCATCAAAGATTGGAGTTGGTGTTCAAGGTCATGTAGTGTTCACTCCCCCCCCAGTCATAAGCCTGCTTATGTTGTCTAACTGCAAGGATCAGACACATGGCACTGAAGAATTGACAACAGTCTTTGTTTATCTTAAATCTGTTTGTTTTGTTTGACATTTAAAGCCCCTCACAATCTGGCTGCAGGCTACCTTTCTAGGCTGATTACGTATTTCTTTATGTCATGCATCCTATGTCCTTGCCAAACCAGCCTTCTTACTATTTTCTGTATTGCTATCCCATCTCCCACAAGTCTTTCCTTCACCAGGCTAAATATCCCTACTGCCTTCAAAATGGAGTGATTTTAAAGCCCTTCTTTATCCTGGTTACCTGGGACACTGAAGCTTGTCAATCTCTCTACTAAAATGTGGTAACCAGAGCTGAACACAGCACCACAGATGTGGGTGAACCATGACAGAATGCAAGTGGGCTACTGCCTCCTTGTTTTAAATCTCATTCCTCTCTTAAATTAAATTAGAAATTTTTTTTGGCCACTATATCACATCATTGACTCATATCTGAATTGTAGTATACTAAACTCTCTAGATTTTCTTTGCATAAACTGTTACATAAAAATGAAATATTTGTAAAACAGCTTACACATTTTATAGCACTATGTCATATTATTATTATTATTATCATCTAAACCTACATTTGAATCCTACCTCTGACACTTACTGGCTGAATGGTGCTGGGCAAGTCTCTTTTTCTCAGGACCCAAGTTTTCTCATTTGCAAAATGGGGGTATGACTTGTAAGGACTCTTCTAGATTGAAATCTATGGTCTCATGATCCTATGATCCCTCTTCCTCCATCCTGCTCTTATGAAATTGATTTTTTTGAAGATATATTTACCTCTTATAAAATTCATGTTATTAGATGTTGACACATTACCTTTAGTAAGAGGTCTTTCTTTGTCCCCCTCAGTACCAGCACCTTCATTCTGAGACTGCCTCCAATTTGCCCCGTGTGTACCTAGATTGTGGTTAACTGTTTGCAAGTAGTCTCCTTACTTAGAATGTGAGGTCCTTGAGGGCAGGAATTGTGTTTGCCTTTCTTTGTATCCTCAGGGCTTAGCTCGGTGCCTGGCACATAGCTGGTACATTCTACACACAAACAGACTTGACTTGATTTATTCTAGGTTTTGTGAGGATGGTGTAGTGGAAACAACTATGGAATTGGAATGCAAAGACCCAGGCCTGAATTCTGGGCCTGTGTGACCTTGGGCAAGTTGGTGAACCTTTCTGAACTTCCATTTACTCATGTGTAAATGAAATGGATGAATGGACGAAGTGACTTCTAAGGTTCCTTCTAGCTCTAAAACTAAGGATCTTCTAAGATGTCAATGTGACAGAAAACTACTTCCAGGTTCCAACAAGCCTGTAGCAAGGCTTTCAACAGTGAAGAGTATGGGATGTGATCTTTGGGAAAAGGTGGGATGGGAAGAAGATGAAGAAAGGATGTGGAAGAGGACCTGAAGGACAAGTCTGGAATCTCACAGAAGTGACTCTAGAGAGAAATTTTTATCAATAATGATATCCTACATTAATTCACCTCTTTGTTTCCCATCTCTCCCTTTTCTCTTTTATCCACTTTAGTGGGGCTGAATTAATATTCCTGAAAGATATCTGATCATCCCACTCTCCTGCCCAGAGCTCTTCACTGATGCCTTTTTGCTTATAGAACAAAACATAAACTCTGTAGCCTAGTTTCCAAAGCCCCCCACAATCTGGTTTGAACTTAAACCTTCAAGTTTTGTTGTATATTAATCCCTTTCATGAGAAAGAGTTGTGGTACGGTGGCTAGAAAGCTGGAAGACCTGGGTTCAAGTATCATCTCTGATAACTATTGGTTGTGTAATCCTGGGCAGGTTATTTAACTTCTCAGGGCTTTAGGGAGGTCTATAAGGTCTATAGGGACCTTCCTAGGTGGTAAGGGCAGCTAGGTGGCACAGTGGATAGAACCCTGGTCTTGGAATCAGGAAGCCTCATCTTCATGAGTTCAAATCTGGCCTCAGACATTTACCAGCTTTGTGACACTGGGCAAATCACTTTAACGCTATTTGCC